GAATGATTTAGAGGATGAGTGGTTGCAACGGAGCTTGTGAATCACACTGCGGCTAATACAGTATAAATAAATTGTACTGCTTACAGTCGTTTTTAAACTCAAATTAGCAGGGTTCCCCTGTAAGTTCCTCTCTGTCAAAATTAAAGGCCTCTCAGTGAGACATAAGTAAGAGCCAGTGGGTTACGTCTTCCCTCTGGCTGCCACTGTAGATTTGCCCTCTAGAGAATATTCTCTAAAGTGCTTGGCCTACTGCAAATTTAAGTAACTGAAACGGCAGCCTTTGTTCCTTTGTAGAGAATACACATTATACATAGGAAAAACTGGAAGAGGGAAAAAAAAAAAAAAAAACTTGTTCTACCCTCATGACACACGTGTCACATCACCTTTATCAATTATTTACCCACCTGCATTGCTCCAAATCTCTCCTGATGGGAGAGCGCACCCAGTTTGCCCCTCCTTTTGTTACCTGAACTATTGTCAAGTGCTTTGGTGCCATGAACAAGGGCGAGCAGGCATCGAGCAGGGCTCCCTGATCCTAGCTTTGCTACTGGTATCCACTGCTTTAGTCCCAAATGTATCTTCTTTTCCTAAGTTAACATCACTTATTAACATCACTTAACATCACAAATTAACAGTGCGATACAGTTCATTACGTGTTTTTCTTTTCTATTTGGAAATCAGGCTGATGTACTTCTGTTGTAAAAATATAGTGAAGTACTTTGCAGTCCATTCATATAACCTGAAGTTAAGCAATATTCAACCGCTAATTCGCCTTTAAAAATACGACATAATGGTTTACCGACCTTAAAATTTATTGAATCAGGAAATAACAAAGACACCTCAAACCATTCTGATATTATGTAACATTCAAAAATATCATTTGGAATCAACCATTATGCCTATAGATTGCTCATTTACGGTCTGCACTGTCACTGCCCATTATCTGTCTGCCATCTAGAGTATCACCCCACACAAAAGAACAGAAAAGGCACTGAAGGACTAAATTATTCATAACTTGAAGAAAAAAAAAACACAGAATGGCATTAAGAAGAATTCATTGGTAGTAGGTAAGCCTAAGTACCCTCTATTCCATTAATATTAATTATATATATATGTTAAAATGTAGTGTTTGTGAAAGGCATTTGACTATGTTAGGGCAATAAAATGTAAAATTACGTAGGATAAACAATGCACATATTGGGCCACTAATATGCAACTTGCTAAACCAAAACAGTGTAAAAACTAGACATCAAACAGGAATTGGACACGATAGCGCTTTTAGCAAGCATCTATAGAATTATTTTGAGATTTATCATTAAGAATTATTTTAGTGATTTTCGAGTCAACTTAATTACCTTCCTCTGCTAGTTTAAGCTAGCTCTGGTATTCATTGCATCTGTCCATAAACTACTCTACTTGATAACGTGGCATAAAATTAATACATTAACAAAACAAACAAACAAAAAGCTCATTTTACACCTTCCCGAGGCTTAGAGAGTCATGAAACACGCGAGATAAAACACCGTATCTCAGCAAAGCATTTCGGAACCAGAGCACTGAGATGACAGGGATCCGGAAGGGACAACTACACGCCTGACGACTCTCCTTCTCCCGAAAGGACACCCCTCCGCGCTCCCAACGCAGCACTACGGCAAAATCCCAAGGGAAGGCACCGCGCATGGATACACGCCAGGGAACGCGGAGGGCGGCGCTGCCGGCGGGCCCGCCCCCCGCGCCCCCCCGCCCAAGGGGGGGGCCA